ATTTACTTATAAAGATCAAAGAGCACAGCCTTTGTTATGGATTGCATCTCAATTAAAGAAAACAAAATCCTCACCACTGGACCAATAAACAACATTCTTATCAGTGGAGAAAAAGATTGAAGTTGTCAAGGACTTCATTCTTCCTGGATCACCTATCAGCACTCACAGAAGTAGTAGTCAAGAAATCAAACTACGTATTGCATTTGGCAGATCTGCTGCACAAGACCTTTTAAAAGTGTTGAAGAGCAAAGATGTCAGCTTGATGACTAAGGTGCGCCTGACCCAAGCCATGGTAAGGAGCCATCTAGTTGTACTTCTTTCAGTAAATTGTTTTTGTTCTTCTAGCAGTCCATGGTACCTCTAATATTCTTCTCCAATATCATTAAGTAGTTAATAGGGTTCATGATGAGAAAATGCTCAGAATACAGGTTCAGGACCTTTTCACTTTTGTGCCTGCAGGCAGGTCTGTCACTGATCTTCAATCCCTTTTTTTGGATTGGCTTCTGCTCTGCTTAGGCAATGTTACAAAACTCTTTTAAGGCTGCTTATAAATGCTCAAAGGACACTCCACTCCTCTATAAGCCTCAACTTCATGGGTCAGCAAACCTAGGTCCCTAAATTAAGTGCGTGGAAGCACCATATTCCACAAACAAGCCTCCTGTTGAAATGCACTCAGTTTTACTTACTTTATGGGCCAGGAACACCACCACTCTGTCTCATGCTGTGACTCTTGACTCTGCTGTTGCCATTCTTCTGCCTCTCCTCTGCTGTCTTCTGTCCCTGGATTGAGGAGTTCTAATGCTCAGGGCCCAAAGGACACAATCCACTCCTGGTTCTTCTCCCCACCCCCACATTTACATTATTTTCATTTCCATCAACATAAGAGATAAATAAAAGTATATAACATTTTGTAGTGTGAGTTAGAAACAAGAACATTGCAATTTTGTTGTTGTTTAGTGCGATTGAGTCTGTCTTATGTATAGCAACCCTGTGTAGGGGTTTCCAAAACAGGGTGGCTGGTGGATTTGAACCACCAATCTCTCTCCTTATAGACAAACTCATCAGTTTTACATTCAACAAATCATACACTTTGTTTCATCTCAGTGATTGTAATCCCCTCCATGCAAGTTATCCTGCTTCCTCCCTGTGCTTCCTGTTTCCATTCCATCTACTTTCCCATCCCTTTTCTGTTTTGTCCTTAGGTAAATGTTGTCCTTTAATTTTTGAATGATTGACCAATCCGTGGTGAGCATACCTTACTAGTGTTGTTGTCCTCCCTATATACCTAACTATTGCTTGGCTGAATTTTGGCAACGAAGTAAGTTCCTTTCCAGACGTGAAGGGTGGTTAAGGGCTATATAGCCCGGGTTTCTCCAGTCTCTTTCTGATCAGTAAACCTGTTTTCTTTTTTTTATATGTAGTTTTGAGTTTTGTTATACACTTTCCCCTGCTCTTTCAGGAC